ACGTTAAAAACTGACATTTCTACAAAATAAAATATATTTTTAAAGATCATTATGAGATAAAAGGTTTTCAAATAGATTTTGTGCTCATTTTTGATCAACTATTTAGGAGAAATCTTGGTTTTAATCTAAACAGCTAAGATGAGCTGTGTGCATTTGAACCAAAGGACATGATGTCTACTCTGAACAGTGTATTTTTATGCTCGTATCAAATTTTGTTACGGAGATTCAACATAAAACTGCCTGACTGCAATGTGACCCTTGCTTTGTTTGTATTTATTCTTGAACATCCGACAAAGTATTACATCACTTTGCCATTGTATCATTTGGTAATAAAGAGAATGTGAAATGACTATTGTAGTGTGTGTGTGTGTGTGTGTACCACTACACCCTGGTTCTGTAAGATCACAAACTTAAGTTTAAGTCTAAATGCAAAACTACACCAGACATTACACTGTGACAGTGTATATGTAACCTGCTTATTAAATGCCTTATTAAAAGTTTTAATGCTACACACACATTAGATTAGGTTTCATCACACCCACTGACCACACTGCTCAATCTAACTAAAGCTGCTCCAGACTGAAACATACATTTACTGATACACTGAGGTTTGTGCTCAGTCTCATGTAACAAGGCGGAGCATAGAGTATATACTGATGAGTGTTCTTTCTTTCAGGCTTCCACCTACAGTACTGTGCAAAGGTTTTAGGCAGGTGTGAAAAAATGCTGTAAACAAAGACTGCTTTCAAAAATGGAAGTGTGAATTGTTTTTCTTCATCACTCAACAAAATGCAGTGAATGAACAAAAGAGAAATCTAAATCAAATCAATATTTGGTGTGACCACCCTTTGCCTTCAAAACAGCATCAGGTCTTCTAGCTACACTTGCACACAGTTTTTAAAGGAACTCGGCTGGTAGGTTGTTCCAAACATCTTGGAGAACTAACCACAGATCTTCTGTGGATGTAGGTTTTCTCACATCCTTCTGTCTCTTCATGTAATCCCAGACACACTCCATGATGTAGAGATCAGGGCTCTGTGGGGCCATACCATCACTCCCAGAAAGTCTTGTTCTTCTTGCGCTGAAGATAGTTCTTAATGACTTTGGCTGTATGTTTGGGTTCGCTCACTTAGCATTTTGTAAACTGATAAAAATTTACAATCATTTATATTTCTGAAAGTATTCTTTATTTACAGCTTTTTTTTACACCTGCTTAATACTTTTGTACAGCACTGTACTTTATTCACAAGAGGAGAAGGACTGGGCCCCAGAACCGAGTTGTACTATTTTTCTGCTTTAATAATATAAAATAATTGAAACTTACTTATTGAATTGTAGCATCCAATTTAAAGTTAACGGGGGAAAGCAGAAGCTCTGTCTGGAATAAAGGAACTGGAGTTACATCTTTCAACAGGATAATGATTCAAAACGTATGGCTAATTCAACCCAGAAATGGTTCAACTGACACTCAGTTATCTTTCTTTGATAGCCATCACAATCCAAAGAACGTAATTCTGTAAAAAAAATTAAAATAAAAAGAAACGTGGGATGAGCCTGAAGAGAGGAATCCATAAGCTGATGTTGTGAAAACTATAAAATCACTTTACAGAAAACAGAATTTATCTTTACAAACTCAAATATTTACTGTATAAACTAAAAAATCTTTATGGATTTATCATTCCTGTGAATCCTGTTTCTGAGAACTGCTTCACACCTGTGTTGCATGAAGTCAGCCAACTTCTGGCACATGAGAGCAGGTATTCCAGCCCAGGATGATTTGACAACATGCCACAGTTCCTCTGCATTTCTTGATTTTGTCTCAGAAACAGCATTTTCGATGTCACCCAACACGTTTTCAATGGGAGTAAGGTCCGGGGATTGGGCCGAACCCCCATAACTTTAATTTTGTTGGACTGGAACCAAGATGCTACTCGCTTACTGGACCTGACATCATAGTAATAGAAACATCCCCATATCATGATGCTTGAACCATCATGCTTCACTGGGGTTCCTCTGACAAACTGTTTGTGGCCCTTGGACCCAAAAAGAACAATCTTACTTCTATCAGTAAACAAGATGTTTCTTCATTTCTCTTTAGGCCAGTTGATGTGTTCTTTGGCAAACTGTATCCTCTTCAACACCTCTTTTTTTAACAGTGGGACTTTGTGGGGGCTTCTTGTCGATAGATAAGCTTCACCCAGGCGTCTTCTAATTGTCAAAATACTTATCGTTAACTTCAGGCCTTTGTTGGTCACCCTGGAACTGGCTGAGTTTTTGTGATTCTGGCTATTCTTGGATCCAATCACGTTGTAGTGTTTTGTTTTGTTCCATGTCTCTCTTAATTTTTTAGCTCTGGAGATCATTTTAGCCGAGCAGGCTATAATTTTCTGCACTTCTTTATTTGTCTCCCCATTTTCAATCAATGTATTAAAGCTGCATTAGGGAGTTCTGAGAAAACTGGGGACTTAGCCTGAAAGTTTGAACAAGCACACCTTAAAGGACACAGAATTTTGTGGTAAATTTATATGTACAGGCCTGTAAGAATTTTTTCCTTTATGGGTGCATATGCATGACAGAAGAAGATTTCAGAGATTTGGAAGTTGTGTGTCCACTTCATTTGCTTACAAGGCATGAAAGCTTGAACTAGAAAAGAAGAAGGTATTAAATGTATTCTAGACCTGTCTGACCAACATGTAGAAACCTGTTTTAACACAGGCCTGCGGGACAGTTGGTAAGCGCTTGCTATTTCATTCCAGGGGAGATTGTCTTCTGACAACTCCCTTACATCTTGATTGAACGTTTCTCATTACACTGTCCTGCCAGGCTGTTTTCAAGGTGAACATTTCATTTTGTCTTGTGGACAGGCGATGAAATGAATTAAAATGCAGTCGCAGTGCTTTTATAAGCTCCTTCTAAAACTGGTTGAGAATCAATTGAGTTTTACATTTTCTGTATTTGAAGAAAAAAAATTCTAATCTCACTCCCTGGTTCAGCCGTTCCATTACTTCACATGCACATCATCTCCTTGTGAAAGAAAAAAAACAGTGTCCTCCTCTGTATTTTATTCACGTTTACACAAAACCCTGAACTAAAAAAGCTTTCAGACTATTGATTTCTTTACAGGATAACATTTTCTAAATTGGCTAATAATATCCACAAAAACAAGGGTAAAGAAGGGTGAGAGGGTTGAAGAAAACCATGGGTAAAAACAGGGGGAGTTGTAAGAGATATTCTGGACAGGGACCCTTCTCCTATACAGGGAAAAGGATACATTTGAACAAATCTGTGTGCAAACTAAAATGACTGAAGGAGTCTAAGACGCTTTGGTTCTACATTAATCCATCTTTTCTACAGGAGTCCAGCCAGTTTCCTCTGGAAGTCTTTTAGATAATTGCTGCCAAGACAACCCCCACACAGATTCCTCTCTTTCCTCCCTTGTATCAGCATCCATTACTTGATCTGTTTATCATCTTAGGATTGCTGAAGATGGTACGGCATGAGAATGTTGATGATTAGTGTGATTGGTAGTGAGCAGGAATCTTCATATTTACATGCAGAAGAGCAAAGAAAAACCACAAGACTGATGTGCCTAAATGTCAAATGATTTAAAATAATGTCCTTGTTTCTCACAAGGTTAAAATACAAAGCTGTATGGAGGTAATATGAGATGCTAGTCATACAGTTCTGGTCAGAGGTTCACATATGCTCATCATAAATGCTGTATATTAGTAACTCAAACTGTTGATTTATTTGAACTATTTTTTTCTAGGCTGGAACGAATAAAATGACTTCAGTGGTCTTGAAAACAAGAAATACAAGTTTGAATTTACTGTTTTTTTTCTCTGATCCACACCAGGTCACGTTGTTAAATACCGCCTCTATAGTACAAGATTGTGGTATAATTTTGTCCGAATGCTTAATCACTGTTCTTAGCAGAATTAGTCAAGTTTGTTTGAATTCAGCAAAACATCTGGCTTTTAAGAACTGTGGAGGCAGGTTGTCGAAACACCAAACAAGGAACTGGTTTGGCCCAAATTGTAAACTTTGTCTTCAGAAGCACTTTCTTCACACTTTGCTAAACTGACACGTGCTTTGGCTCACACCTCGAAAACAAATTACACAAAGCTGGTTCACTAAGAGCTTTTCTGCTTACAGTGTGCTGATGAATTAGGGATTTGGTGAAGCATTGGACCAGTGTGGCCAGTCCTGTTTCAAATTCTTGACAATCCGGACACACTGGTGAGCACTGGCAACACAATATGAATGCACTGCCACAGCTGCCATCACACCCCAGCAACCAGTATTATGAAGCACTACCACCTGAATATACTTTTTTCATCCTCCTGTCATGTCCTGTCATACATAATAAAGAGCTGAATGTACTCTTAATACACAATAAATGGCCTTGCTACCACCTTGTAAAACCATTCACCTTCCAACTTCTGGATTTTTTACATCGTAGTATTTGTGAAAACTAGCTGTAATATTAACTTCTATGCTGATTATACTATTTTGTAGTCTAGCATCGTACTGCTCATTGTGTAGCTGTTCAGGACTGACACACTCAGTGTTAAATAAGTTCTCATCAAAGGTCAAATTAAATACATAATGCTTACGAGAATCAGACGATTGTCAGATAATTGTACCCTCTTGTTATAATAACCATTGACAAGCAGAGTCACCATAATCATACTGGTAACAATTTTAAATAACCCGATAAAGAAAGTATTAGTAGTGTTACTTTTACAAAGTAATGTAAGTAATTACATTTAGTTACTTTTGAATTACTTTATAATGCATGTGGGTCTATCATTGGTGGGTGGCGCTGTAAGTTCAAGTTGCTACATGATGAGCACAGAAATAGTCGTTTATTTGTTGATGCAGAGTTATATAAGGCTTTTTTAAATGTATTTATATTTTTTTGCAGCACTAGAGGCCTTTATTTTTTCAACAGTGGGTAGACAGGAAAGAGAGCAAAGAGAGGGGGAGACATTCGGCAAAGGTTGGTCTGGGACTCGAACCCAGGACAGCTGAATCGAAGACTATAGCCTCAGCACATGGTTGCGCGCTTAACCCCTACACCACCACCATCATAATTTCACTGTGCATTATTGTTTTTGTCATCAGAAAAGTGCATCCAGATGCTGATGTGTTTGCTTTAGTTCAAATTTGTCATTTTGAGCCAACCAGTAGCTTTATATTTCATGCTGCTCTAAATTTGGCTAAAAAGCTATAATTTTATAGGTGAAGATGTTACAGAAATTTAAATAAAATTAATTTAACTTTGCAATGTCTTTAAAGTCTGTTAATTTTACTGGTGTTCAGACTTTACATCCACCACATAAAATGAATGTGGTCCTAACATGCATTACCATCTATTATACTGGTGCAATATAATCAGAAATAAGGTAGAAGATATCTTTTTTATTAAAAAACACAGTTGGTATGGTACTGCACTCATCGATTTACCATGCTGCCACTGGCCACAAACACATGATGGAGGGGAACTAGATGTGATACGTAGCTGGGTAGAATTCTATGAATCATTCACTTACACTTGGAAATCTGATAACCCTGTAAGCACCAGTCTAGGTGGAAACGAAGTATAAATAGATTTAATAAATAAATGGTGATAAACATCCTTCACTTTTTCAGGAAAGATAACTGATATGCAAATATTTACAAGGAGCTGTGTCATTCTTTTTGTAAATGGGAGGACCCAAATTCAGTGAGATAGCAGAGTTAAAGCCAAAGGTGGATGTTTATTGGAAAAGGATCAAAAAGAGCCAAGGAACAGGCATGAGGGGAAAAGGAGAACATCAGCCTGTAAACAATGAAGCAACTTGAGAACAGAGAAAAAACATAAATGACAAGATACAACAGAAAATGGAAGAATCTGGCAGAAAGGAAAGGAAACTGATGGGCTTTAACGCACTGGGAAGGTGGCTGAGTACCAGGTGTGACTAATAAGGAGAATACAGTGCAGCTGGGGAAGAACCTGAGCAAGGCAACAGAGCAACCAACTCTTTTTGCAGCTCTAGGGGCTTTTATTTTTTCAACACTAAGCTGACAGGAAATGGGGTGGAGAAAGGGGGAAGACATGCAGCAAAGGTCGCCTTGGCTGGGAGTCAAACCTGCGACAGCTGCATCAAGAACAGAAGCCTCTGAATATGGGCCGCATATTATATGGGGTCAGAAATTACAAGCTTTGCATTTTGAACTACAAAACTCCAAACAAGTACAACAGTTCCTTTGTAGGAACACTAATCACTATAATTTCAAGCTATTTAAAACATATTTTTTTTCTGCAGTCAGGTTTTTGCTTGGTTAACACCCATAATAGCAACAGCTTCTTATTCAGTCCAAAGAAAGCTTTCCTCTCCACTGATAAATGAAGCTGCAGGAGGAAAGCCCAATAACAGTGCCATAATATCCAATATAATAAGTCCAATATCAGTTCTTCACATCATTTCATCACCAAGGTGAGCCGGCAGGCCAGCAGCAGGAGCAGCAGGGGTTTGGAGTGTAATGACTACCATTTCAGGGAGTGAGATATAAAGGTTGTTTGTAAATTACAGATGGGGCCTTGGAAGAAGGAACAAGTCAAAAGAGGAGTAGCTTGAAAATATTATTTCCCAGTGACCCAGTGATAGCTTAATAATGTTGAAAATTAATATAAGGTGCATTTCAGAACAATTTATATTACACTTGTTCCCTCACACAGATGTGACGTCCTTTCTGAGTGAAGAAGTTATGAAGTACTGAACTGTTGCACATTCCATTAGCAACACCCATTGTCTGGATGAAAATATTCTGTATCCAAGGGAGTCAAACAGTTGAACTCAGAGAGGAGATGTGAACTTTGTATCTGGTCAGGGTTAAATTGTGCAAGTGAGGCAGTTCTTGCAGAAAAAAACACATTTGATAAAACTATAAACTCACCATTAAGCAGCCTTGCTCGGCAAAACCTTTTAGCCACATAAGAACAATGCGATTTATTGAGTATTTCTATTCATCCCTTAAAGTTATCTTATTTTAACACAAGACAGCCTGTTTTTCTTCATGAACCTTTTCTTTGTTTTTATCCTCATTTTTCTTGATGATATTCTATAACAGAAGCTTGAACATGTTGCAGGAGTTAAGGGAAGAGGATAGGCTGGTTTAAATCATAGTTATCTGATTGGTTCCACTTTGTTTACATTATTGATCAACCTTCCTCACACACCACACATAAGAGTACCACAGGGCTCATGTTTTGGAGCCGTTATCTTTAGGCCATAATTGGTAAAATCACAAGACAGGCCTAATTCAGGTCATAATACTGGGTCTATGCAATCACAGTTAATCATTTATTTAGGTGGTGATTAAGTTTTCACATAGGTTGGTTTGGATAGCATTTTGTATTTATATAAAAGTTGTTTGATGATCTGAAACAAATATGATAACAAATATGATAAGTGAGACAAATATGATAAACAAAAGAAATCAAAAAGAAGGCACACTCTTTTACACAGCATGCAATTATTCCTGAAACCTGACAGATCCAATCAGGTAATTCCATTACAAGTATGTCACGATGATGATTTTTAATCTTCACATCTTCCAAAACAGTACATAAATGAAAGTGTTAACTCACTTTTGAGCTAAAATGCTTATTGATTTGTGCTTCATCTTCCTTTGTTTTCCTTGGCTCAATCCCATCTGGCTCTTGGGACATCTGGAGATCAATAAAAAGGTCCACTGTTTCCAGCACTCGAATCATGTCCTTGTCAAGATGCAGCAGAGAAAAGCAGAATCTCCCAAAACTAAAGGAGAAAAAGCAAATGTAGAAATAGTACAACCTCCCAATTTATTCAAATCTATGAGTGAGTTCCACTGTCTCACTAACAGCACTGAAAAGTGTGTAAAACAATTTCAAAATCTTTATTTCAGCAGCTGATGTTGGAGCACTAGTGTAATTATGTTCCACCTTTCAGTAGTTGACTTTTTAATTGTAATAAACACTGCAATATGTGCATTTAATTTAGGTCTATGTTAAGTTATTTTCTAACAGGAATAAGAGAACAAATATACTTACAAAAAGTTTGGGATATTTGACTTTCGGGTGACAACGCCTTCGACTTATTGTCTGTTGAGGCATGGCATCCTACTCTTCTAGAAGGGCGACCCGCCAAGAAGAAGAAGTTTCTCTGTATCTCTGTTTTAACATGCTGATGACACTCTAAGCTCAGTGCCCACTTCTGTCTGAGAACATCCTGTTTGAACTCTCACAGTGGTGAGGTACTGTTGATAGTAGTTAGGTGTCATCTTGGTCTCATGATGTCAAAATGTGAACAGCATGATGAGAAGGACTGTTAAAATGCCCATTCTGATTAAAGCAGGACATTTGTTGGTCGATTCATGGATCAAACAGCAAGTTGTGCAAAACGTACTGAAACATGGAAATGTTGGACGTGTGCATTCAAAAGTTTAGAGAAGATCACATTAAGTCTACCTGTAAAGATTGTAGTGAATTGCAGGTTGATCCTAAAATTTGTTTTGCCATATATCAGACGTTTGTCTCTCTGGTAAATAAAGCTGGAAACGTCGGCAAGAAGAAATCAAATGCCCTTTTAAAAGACTAAACCATTTAGTGTATTTTTTGAGATGTTGCTGTAATATATTCGTCTATTGAAATGCAGTGCATTTATTCAGTTTGATTAAACTTGTGTTTCTCATGCGTTTTGATGTTATGGTAAAATCACCCAGGAAGACGTGCTCATTTTGGGATTTTATTTTGAAGGCCAGAACCACTGACTTCCGATCCTTAAACACGTTGCCGCAGCCAGCAAATATTAAAACACCCGGGTAGGATTGAGCAAGTTTGGGAGAAAAAAGGGGCAGAAATTGGGACAAGCAAGTGATATAGGAGGACGCTGATAAAACAGGGAGAGAGGAAAGCTGCTGGACCAGCCGCTCCTGGTACCCAGAGGAGGGTGAGAGGCTGGGACGGATCGCTTGTGTCCTGGGGGCCGTTAGACGGAGACTGTTCCGCCGTCCGTCTTCAGCGGGAGCGCCTTTGTGTTAAAAGCAGAATGATTGTAATGAGGCGCTAGCTGTGGCCGAGCTGCACAGCAGGACCTTGAATCTGCCTCATCCTACTGTGTAGCGTCCTGTGTGTCACTGACCGCATCACCCATGCGATAGTTTACTGCTGATAATATGTGTTGCTGAGCAAATCCTCCGGTTTAAAGATGGTACAATGAATGCGGTTCTCCGTCAGTCTGGTCTCGATGAGCGGATCCTGATATTTCCCAGTCCGGCTGCAGCGTGAGCAGGAAGTCCTGAGCAGAAGGCCCGGCCATCCGGCTGATCAGAGGAACAAAACAAACAGCGGCGCCCAGCGTTGTTTACATTCGCGCATTAATCTCTCGTCATATCTGCGTGGATGCCCCGCAGTACGGGGGACAGTTTTGCGACATGACGAGCCTGCGTCAGAGGAAAGGCAGCAGGGGGAAGGAGGCGTCTCCGGCTGCTGAAGTTCAGTCCCAGCAGTCCAACTGTTGCACCCATCACCATGCAGGCAAGATCCTACAGGGTGAGTGAGTGAGTGAGGGATCCTCCAGGGCCACTGGAGACATCATGGGAATGTTCTCAGTCGGAAAAGCTTGTGCCATAAAAGAAACTCAAGTAGTCAGGTAGTTCCAATCAGCACTCCCATTAAGGGATATTTTTCTACAGGTGTAGCTTACCGTTCTGCACTCTGCTGCCAGTGGTTAACAAGCTCTGCACTGGTGGCAGAACGTCTCTGTAGCTAACTCTTCAATAGGAGCTGAAACTTTAACAATGTTCTTGATGATCTGATCTGGAAGATTATTATTCTTAGCAGTTGATGCCCTTTTGATGGATAGTGGTGGTAGCTGCCTGCTTTCCTTTGGAGGCAACACAAAACGATGATTTCAAGCACATCGCCCCCCCCCCCCCCCCCCCCCCCCCCCCCCTTAATCAGTTATAATGATAGGGTGATTTTAGCTAGATTTTCACAGTTACACCCTCACTGCTGTTATTGCCATACTGAAATGAAGTTAGCTCATAATATACTGCGTTGGAGCA